TTGTGGATGTCTTCCCTGGACACCTTGTTATTTGTAAATTGTGGTTTTACAGTTGTTATTTAAACTGCTTCCAAACCAAGATGGCTTAATTTACAAAGGTCTTTCCTCCCTACCCTGCCTAGACTAGTTACTAAGGTAATGCAATACAGTATACATCAAGGAAAAATTCTGCCTTTTCGGCACATATTAACACAAACATTGTGCTGGGGTGTACATGGAAGACCCATTTTTCACTCTATCCTTCTGCTAGCATGAACAAATCCCTGTGCCTCTTGTTCACCTGTCATCCAAATCAGACACAGTTTTGTACGTAATTTTCCATAGAACCGAAACATTTTAACAAACAAGACAAAACACAGAAAAATATTAACAAACTCTCCACATTCATAAACAAATCTGTGAGGCATACTACCTTAAATATATATATATATGTGTGCTATTTTACATAGAAGAAAGCCTTTAGGAACTGCATGCAAATGATTCAGGCTTGAAGTTTTCAGAAATTGTTTATTTCTAAAAGAACTTTGGACTTCACAACTTTACCTCTTTGCAGAAAGACAGGCATTTACAAAGACCCAAAATAGATATATTTCGCCTCAATTCCTCTGCCTTGGAAAAGTCCACAAAATGGAGGGACATAATGGGTGCTTAAAATCCCTAAATAACCAGCCTTTTCCAGGTTTTGCAGAAACTTCATTCTAAATCCAAGAAACATTTCTGTCAAACAATAATAAAAACTTTGTTCCATAAAGTTAAATCTGGTTAACTGCAGCAACTGGAAATTTCTATCAATATCATCGTGAGAAGTCTCAACAAGCTCTACTTTAAGCCTATTTGCTTTAAAACCACACCTGTACAAAACCACACTTTATATATAGACAAAACAGAATTCTGTTTCTATACAGGTTCTGACTTTAACACCTCAGTGATTTCATTTACTTTCCATATGCCCTTCTCTGTTCTTTAGCTAAGAGTAATCATGGGAACCTGTTGGTGACAGACATAGTTTTTAATTAGTGTTTCAGCCTATTTTAGATGAACGTTTTAGCTACTTACCGGGCTTAAACGACAGCAAAAAGGCATCTCTCAAAATTCTTAATTTTTTTCAGGGTTTAATCTATGTTTAGGATTTTCTACAGTTACATAAAGTGAATGAGAGAGTCATATGATTGATCTAATTCTACTCCAATTTTAACAACATTCAGTGAAAACACTGGCTTATATAAAACTTGAGATGCAACAGAAATTGAAGAAAATTGTTGTCACAGGACAAGTATCACATGACAGAGGGATGTCTGCTGGTTTAAGCTGGCCTTCTGGGAATGTGCTCTATATGAATCAGTGTTTGTGCTACCTCAACAAATAGCAAAGAAAGTCAGCAGAAAGCAAAAGTTCTTGTAAGAAAGAATCTCTCGAAGTCAGATAGACTCCCTCAGGCCATATGTGGATTGTGGCTACTGAATTTTATTTAATTTTTATTATCTTGCAGTATTCAGAACATATGTTTCTACAGCTGGGCTGATTTTCAGTGTGCATGAACAAGTCAAATATTCTATCACTGACCTTGCCAATACTGAGCAAGGGTAGATTATGCCATTCTTATTGGCTTTGCAACTACCTCTGCATAAAATCCTAACATGACCTGGAAGGGTTGGGAAGTGAAGCGAAGAACATGAATGCATCACTTACAGCTAGTGTAGGTTCTCCAACTGTTTGATTACTTTTTGCAAGCCAGAAATGCTTTAGAACTCAAAGCCTGAGTGTATTTTACCAATGTCAGGCTTTGTTCTGTGTTCCCAAGCAAAAGGCAGCATTCTAAACTGCTTCTAAACCAACAGTTCCCAAAGCCCAGCTTAAGATGCCAGTGACGACTCAATAGTTATACATCTAGGCTGCATCCTTCTTGCTTTTCTTTAGGGGTTGCTCTGAGTGATATATTTGGTAGCTACAAAGAAAATATCAGAAGCTAAGCAAACCAAAGGCATACTAATCTGCTTCCTCAATGACCTACACACGGGAGAGTGATTTAAGAATTATGTGGGGGAAGGAAAAAGCATGTCTGGCTACTTCTTGCACAGTTCCTGTCAGAGACATGAGTCAAATCTTTCCAGCTGAGCAGAAGAGGCACCTATTCCTCTAACCATATCCTTCCTACACTTATAACTGTGGAGTTCTCCATGAAGAGGAATGCAACTCCCATTTTGGTCCCTCTTGGGAACATCTTTTTAAATAAAATGCTTTCCCTCTTTTTGCCACACACAGAGAGTCAATTCTTTAAAATGCAGAAAACAGTCGATTTCAAAGAAATGCTCCCCTTCATCTTCAGTTTTAAGAAGTCTGAAAGCAACATATTTTAAAGACTTTAAATTAGACTTTTAATTTGTTTTGGTTAATCCACTTTCATCTTTCCACTTGTTGAAAGATCACATTTATACAATTGCATGCCCTTCCAGAGAAGGAGGCAACAAAACAAAACAAAACACCAACGAACCAAACAACAACAAAAAAAACAACAACAACAAAAAAACCCCAATCACATGTGTATTCCATGTTCTCATCCTCCAAGGCATATCCCAGTATGCCTAGTAGAAATACAGATTTGTAAGCAGGCAGGAGTTGTTTTGTCACAAAGAAATATATTTTGATAGCTCACCTTGTATCTGTGCATCACACTCATTCCTTGTCTATCCAGTTGCTGTAAATGAGTGATCAACAAGAAATATTTCAAGGAAGTATTTCAGGAAGGTATTAAGATTTATCTCAAGTTAAGAGCAGTTGCCATTAAGCTGCCACATAAGTGAGACGGCAATCTATGAAACCCAGTTAGAACTACTGCTCCTTCAGTAAACACTGATTAAAACACCTTGATAATGAGTTTTCCATCTGCAAAGCCCAGACAGGTTGGAGCTTTACACCTCATATGTATTCTTCCATATATTTTCTTCTCTATACTCCTGTTCTTCAATCCAGAAAGTTAGGGACAAACCTCAACCACCTTTAAATGCACTGGACTTTTGAAATATGAAATGTAGGTCATCTAGATTTTATAATCAGATATAAGATAGGCCTGGAATGAGAATTACAGTTACTTTGGACTTGATTCCAGACAGACAGACTTTCAGACCTTAATTATCAGTTGTGTTTCTCTAAGACAAATTTAGCAGCTGCCCAAGTTTAGCTTATTATACACTTCTTTGGTTTTATTATTTAAATCTGAAATTTCCCTAGCTGCTTGTAGATCTGCTTCTCATCACTGTTAACACAAACCCGAAACCAAACCAGCGAGACATGGCTTGCAGGCATCGCTGACCTCTCTGAGGTTCAGCACACAATGCTGCAGCTCATTCAAGCACATGTGATTCAGGCTCCCCATGTGTTACAGCACTTCTCAGAGTCACAGGTCCCTAAGCTTGCAGGGTTCTTCCCATTTGACCTGGAATTTCCTGCAGCTCACACCTTCCAACAGAAAGCTGGACAGGTATTACAATGGGAACAAAAGATCTAGAAAAATGTACATAAGGCCTTAGAGAACTCAGTCCAGGAAACATATTCACAATGTCCATAGGATCCAGATCCTCACAAAATCTAACAGAGAATGGACTACAGGAGTAACTGAGTGGTTACAGTTCAATTAGATCTACAGAAAAGTAAGGGATGGAATCCAGCTGTGTATCTACCAGAACCATAAAAGTGCTTGGCTGGAGCTTTTCAAGGCAAAGCTCCTGTTTCAGAAGCCATGCAGCAGTGGGGCTAAGAGACATTTGGACTTGGGTCTTGGAATGGCAGAAGCACCTCTCTATTGCTCAGACTTCAGCTGTCTAAATTTCAAAATGCAAAAGATAGCAGGATTGCATATCTTTCTGGCATTTCTCCTTCTATCTAAGCCTGAGCAGCTTGCTTTTAGTATGCCTTGTTTGTCACAAGGGGAGAAGACACACAGTAGAAGGAAGAGAAGAGATGGAAAAGAAAGGATGAGATTAAGGAATTGCTGAGTACCAGCATAAGATGGCTAATTATGTTCAGCAACTGTCTTCACAATGTTCCAGTTTTAATCACTGATTTGACTTTATGTTTTCACGTGACAAACAAAACTTTTTTGCATCTTGGAGCCTCAGTGTCTGTCACAGGTTGACATTTGCCTCTGGAAGACCAACTTAGATGCCATGGGACAGAAATAATTCACTGAGCAAACTTTAGGAAATCCAGCATTAGGACTTTTACAGAGTCAATTTCTCACTTTTATGTTGAGGAAATACAACCTTGATCTACAGAAACTTTTCAATAAAGCAAAACTGCAATTTTTATTTCTGTCTGTTGAGATCTTAAGAAATACTTTCTGGAAGAACACAGAAAATGTAGCTGAAAAAATAGGCAAAACCTCAATCTATGCTGCTAGCCTGTGCTACAAATACCAACTCCTTGAACTTGTGCAAAACCAAGGTCAAAATTTTGATAAAAACTGACATACCCAACTGATCATAATTCATTTGAAGTTTTAATAATAAAACACTTATTTCTGCATGCACTCTGCATCCTGCACAACATAAAACACATGTGTGCCAAAACTAGGGACATGCTGTTCATGGATACCTCCCTTCTGATGAACAGTACACTTTGCATAATTTGTGAATCAAGTCGTATTTGCCTCATACACACAAGAGGAAGCTGCAAGGCCACAGCTTCTGTCCCTGCTAAGCAATTCAAGCTTCAGCAAATACTTGATGCGGTCCTTGCTCAGCAAACATGTCAAGCAATCTTAAGCTGCCATATAACTGACCAGGACAAAACTGGTGAATAGAGAGTGACACTATACTTCCTATGGCAGATCACACTTAACCACATATATGAAGGACTGAACATGCTGTGTGGGGTGCCACAAACCTGCTAAATGAGTAGGCAGAGTCAGAGTGAACTCCCATGAATGAATCTGAGAAACTCACCTTAAATGGGGGCACTACCATTACTAAACTTTTATTAAAAATTGCATAAATGCAACTTACAGCACTGCGTGATCTTCTGGATGTTAGAAGTTATCCGTTGGGCTAGTTGATTAGGATCCCCAAAACCCGGTCCGTACGACATGGCTGAGTAGAGTGTCTGCCAAGATCATCCACAACAGGAAAGAGTCAGACAGTCTCTACCTATAGAAAACAATAGTTTTGATCATTGGCTTATAAAGGTCTTCACCATCTTAAAAAAAAATGCATATTAAAAGATAAGAGAAAATTTCATATACTAATGTTTACCCTCTCCAAAAACACAGTACTTCAAAGACAGAATTTAAGGGAACACTTTCTTTAAAAAGTATCAAATAAGAATATGACATCCTTTTTTAATTTCCTACAATAACTCTTACTACTGAGATTCTTAGTAATATACACAGCTTAAGATTTGCAATTACTCTACAACAGCCACATCACAGAAACTACATCCTTTATCAAACGTCTTACATATTTTCCCCACTGTAATCAAAGAAAGGGTATACATCTTCATTTGTTGCCATTCCAGAAGAAAACTGATGTTTAACCTGAAAATACCAAATCCTCTAAAGAATTATGTTCCAAACTAATCATATTGTTATTTCCATACCCTGTATCACCCATCCCACCAATACAATCTAACCTATATAACCACTGGGGAAAAAAACCCAGCAGATATCACACAACATATCAGAATGAAGAAGGCACTTAATTTCCTCTAAACATCAATAATTTTTATCAACTTCAGCTTTAGTTGTAACCCAGTGTCACCTAAGTTCTACGAATTACCACTTTATCCTGTTTCATCTTCTATGCTTCTCAATACGAATTCATTTTTCAACAACTTGGGTATTCAAATGCATTTTTATAGGTGTTTTTTCCACCATACAGACCAAAGTTCAGCACAAGCACATGTGCTCATATCCTAAATCTAAATTAACAATACCTATGCAAATCAAATGATGTGCTCTCCTGCACATCACCTTCATGGGTTCAACATTTTAACTTCACCACTTCCCCACATTTCCAGTGTTCCACCCAAACCATGTGACTTCCAAGCAACGTCCTGTTCTCCTGGCCTGTCAGCTTCTGGTTAACAGACATTGCTAAAACTCAGTTTCAAGGAGAGAGAAAAAGAAAGTACATTAAATTTGTGAAAAGAAGGAAATTAAAAGGCCAGATGATTTGTCAAGTATGGTAACAGTTGTACTACAATTTGCAAACCCAAGTCCTTACAAACTTTTATTTTAGTACAAACAATTAACACTCCCTGTTGCCAAATATTATTTTTCTTTCACCTTCAGAAATGCCTGTATTAATACAGGCAGTAACGCCCTGGTTGTTTTTGTATCTTTATGATATGAAATGACCTTTAGTGGAGCCAAGACACTGTAATGGGTCCTGTGAATGTATATGCCACCAAAACTTCACCAGGGATGTAACTACAGAGGTCAGGCCCACCCCTGCTACCCTGCAGAAGACACCACCTCTGCCAGATGAATAAGCTGCTGCTACTGTGAAGATAAACCCTGCACGACTTTGAAGTGGATGCTCCACTGGGGTCCCAAACCCTGCCTGGAGTCCTTAGGCCCTAAGGGATACCCTAGAAATGAACAACCTGATTGCAGATGAGGTGACAGGGAGTGTATTTGCACTCTTCTACTTACTTGCTGCACAATTGCCCTCCAGTCATGCCAGCTCTCTGCAGTATCATTTCCTGACTTTGTCTGTACCACATGCAGATTCAAGTTATTTTGACTGAAGTCAGTCAGCCAGACAGCCTAAATACCACTTATCTGGACCAAGGCTGGCGTAACAACCCTTTATCTTTTTGGAAACCCTAGGTAACACCGCACTGAATTTGGATTGTAAGGCCAAAGCCATGCAAACTTTACAGCAAACAAACAGCTCTATACCCTGTTGTATTGACTAAGTAAGGAAATCTACCAATTTAGTGGAAAATACAATCATAGGCATCAAATCCAAAGAAACTACCTAAAAACTTAGTTTGAAAAAAGAATATTTCTCAGAAATGCTAACAGATTGAGGTTTTTAAAATTTATGACTATTTTTAGACACCTTAGTAGCATGCTAACTGCAAGGCTAGCCCTGACTAAAAATACTTTGCAGTTAAATATTACAGTCAATGTTAAAAGTTAATGTTAAAAGTTAAACATATGTTTAAAGTTAAAATGCAACAAAAGGCCAAATCACCTTGTGTAGAACTAACATAGCCTTTCACGATTGTTTTTTTTTCTTTCATATGTGTATTCACTGAACAGCTCCTGTAACACTGTTCTCAGCAGCATGGTTACAATCAAGAGATATACACTGACTATTTCATCCAATTCTTGACAAAAGCAGTGACTGTTTTTCTTTGTCTTGCAAACTTCTACAGCTAACCATAACCCTAACCCTAACCATAAGTATCTTTAAACAAGTTACGCTGCGCTATACTGACAAATGTACAGATTGTACAATATATAAGACTTTGAGTTTTTTAACTTTCTAGCTACATAGGCAGCCAAACACAACACATAATGAGAGGATGTTCAGATGACAGATTGCAAAGCCCACAGGATATAGTTCAACTTTTCGTCTGCAAATGTACATCTCTCTAATTGTTGACACAATTTGACACAATTCTTTGCATCAACTCACATACTTGAATTGAGATTTATAGTAAATTTGTAGTATATCAATGTAAATTCACAGCTGGTTTATGCCATGCAGATTTTTCTACATGGTATTGACGAGTACTTTAATAACACAGGTTGGTGACAGAGTAAGCTACTGGCCTGGGGAACAGACAGAAAGAGATGTAAGGGGTCAGTCATCAGCTCTCATCGCCTCCCAGTCTTCACCACACTTTATCCTTCTAGTTTTCACAGCAACATGGGCATCTGAACTGAACAAACACCCTACTTCCACTCACACACCCTTCAACCGTTAGTGCTGAGTTACTCAAACTCCTCTGCACACACAGATAGCTGAGCCCTTGGGAAGTAAATTGGTGTTTTGCTAATGTCTTTGACCTAGACAAGATCAGGGTTTCAACCACCAGGAAACAAACCAGGCATGCACCAAGCATTTCCTTCCATCCAAGGCGATAGAAGCATTTCTCAAGACTCTGAATTTCCATTGAAATTACTCCTTCTCACTTCCACAGCATTTAACTACTCTGTCGTGATATATTTTGGCATTACTGGCTGCATAACTTATAAATTGGGGAAGTTAAAAATATGCTGCAGTTGAAGGAAGTACAGTTTATGTTCAAACTGGAACGGAGCTCCATCTGTGGTAGTTTTCAGTTCCTCTAAAAGTTTCAGTCAGGTGTGAGCTTCTGATTGTACCTTTTATCTTCCACTCAATGTCTCTGTCTTTGGGAGTATACCTAGCAGCAACTCAGTTTGCCAAGCTACTGAAGAAAGTCAAAGGAATCTAGCCCACTATTGCAAATGAAATGAAAAATTAGGACATTTCATCAATGCTCCCTGAAGCAAGACCTCGCTGTACATATTTGAGGTTTAAGGAATTCAAAGGACTGCTATATATTTTTCATAATTTCTGCATTAACTGGTTCCTCCACTGTGACTTCATACCAGAGCAAAAAATGAACCTTAGTATCAACATATTTTCTAGAAAGGTGTTTGTCAGTCATGGGAAAAGATCCATATTTCCATTGGCTATGAATGTAGAGAGACCAGAAAGTGGGAACTCCATAACCAAGCAGCTCCCCAGTGTCATTTTTGAAAGCTCCATCAGGACAAAAGAATGTGATGTGTCAGATCTCACAGCAGCCATCTAAATATCTTCAAGGCTCCAGTCAGCTACAGTTAAGTACCTAATTTATTTTGTTATTTTCTCATTTAGATGTTCTAAAAGTCTTCCTTCTCCCATAAATCTAGACATTAGGATAAGAACCCTTTAGCAATAGCTTTACTGTTTGAGGAATGTTTCTGCATCAGGACTAGAAATGTTTATATGGAACCTTAACTTTCAGAATACAAAAAAAACCCCAACAAACAAAAACAAACAAATATGCTACATTCCATAGAACACTTGAAAATTTAAATCTGATCTGAATTTAAATCTGATTTTATGCCCTTAATTATCCAGAGACAAGTCATGGGGCTTTCTTTATGTGATTTTTTTTTTCCTAAATAAAGGTCACAGTAACAAAGTTTCTTGCCATCAATATAAGATTTCCCTTGTAAACTGCTCCCCCCACCCAAAAAAAGTGCAAAATCCTTCAGGCAGGGTGAAAACACAAGCAAAAGTGATAAACTGCTGAAAGACTTCAGAAAAAATTTCAGCCAGTCACAGTGTTAGCTACAGAAAAGATAAGGATGTCCTACTACAGCAGCTGAGGGATTCTCATAACTGACTTGTAGCAACTGACTTAGTAAGATACAAGTGAGCATTAAATCTGTCACTATTTTCTCTAGTAGGGATGAGAGAGGTTGACGTTTTTTTCTGGACTTATCACTTTTTTTCTTTTACATTTAAGTTAAAGTATTTATGAGACAGATATCATATTTTCCACTTTGTGTTTTTACAGCTCTTAATGTGCTGAAATCTTGGTCCACAAAGGCAGGCTGTAGCCTCCCATAATGCAGAACCAACTGTGGAGCATAATAAACACACAAACAAAATTAAATCCTTCCTGCCTTCTTAAAAGAAAAGTTTCCAAATTTTTTTTTTTTTTATCATCTAGTTTCAGGTGAAGTCTAACTTAAATCCATATAGGGAAGGAAAAAGAAAGTGAAATTAATTTAAAACTTTATTGGCTCTCCTGCAGCAACACGAACACAAAAGATGTCAAAAGGTAATTTTCTACCCACTCTGCCCAATTCCATCAGCCTTGCAACATTAGCAATGTTGAAATCCAACAAAACCAACTTAACATTGTCTAACAGCTATAAGTACTTTTTTTTTCTTTTTCTTTTTTTTTTTTTTTTTTTTTTTCTGGGAAGAATTATTAGATTGTGCCACTGGTCAGCGTTTTAGTCATTTTTCCTAGAAAAGATTCAGTTGAGCAAAGATGCAATTTAAAGCAGTGGCATTTAAACTGCCCAGTGTGAAAAACTAAATTACAGAAGCCTGAAATACTATTAGGTCTAATGCATCACCAGTGCTTAGCATATAGATTAAAAAAAAAATAATATGTTTATAATTGTCTGATTCATCCACACTGATATTTACAATGCAGTAGGTGACAGAATCACATGCTTCACAAGCCTAAAAGAACATTTTAGTTCTTGACAAAATGACTTAAGAGAATTATGTATCCTAGGAGTGCACGAAGTGTTTAAAGGCCTAGTGATGAAGCAGGAATAGGAAAATGAACAGTAGGGACTGGAACTATTGGGGAAGATAGAGAACAGGAGATCTGAAAATGGACCTGAATGACCATTTCGAAGTGCCAAGTTTCTTGTGCTGCTGGTAGACAAACATAATCTCATGGGAAAATAAAGATGTATAAGAACTACAACACACCTGGCATGCTAGGTGTTCTCACCCAAATCTCCCTAGTGGTAGCTTGTTTGCATTGAACCAAGTGCTCAGATCAAGTGCACCAAGGGAGAAGTTACCTTCACACAGAACCTCACTGCAATGGATGTCAAGTCTCTCTGAGGCCTACCAGGATGCTAATAATTACATATGGAGAGACCACACGGTCTCTTTCTTTCTCCTTCCGCAAGAGTTTCACTTCAGTGTAAGTCACCAGGAAGAGTCAGTCATCATGGCTAGGCTTCGCAAACGAAGATTTGAGACCAGAAAGAGTGCCACTTAATATTCTGCCATAAGACTACAAAAGACATCTTCATGAAGGGAACAAAAATACAGTTTATAACAATGACACCGTTTAGCATCACTTTCTTCTAATTTTAAGATATTTTAACCTTTTTTGTCCCCTTTCTTTTCTATTAACAGTATTTGCACAAACTCCAAGCTCCAAGCAGAAGGGCTGCATTGCCGGCAAAGCACAAGCCTGGGTAATGACCGCGGCACAGCCCTCTGCCTTTGCAAGGCTTGTTCGCCAGTGGAGAGGGTCACAACACATGAGCGGATTGCTTCTGGCAAAGTATTCCCGGGATTGTATCACTGGGCTTCTTCAATTTAAGATGCAGTGCCGTGCCTTGCATGCAAAGCCGAGTGAAACCTTCCATTTAATTGCAGAGTTTGCAGAAGTGCCCATCCCTGATGCAGAGGAGAGTGATTCACCAGGAAAGTAGAGATAACATCGGCCCAGGGGCCCGGCGCACCAGGCCCGGGCTCGGTATTTACATCGGTGACTTCTATAATCTCCCTTCCTCCCGCTGACATGCTCACCTCGGACCTGGAACAGCACGGGGAGCGCTTCCAAACACGGCGGAGGTGCGCGCCCTACCCTACAATTCCACACAAGCTGCTGTAAAACACCCGCTGTAGGCCCCGATTCGCTTCTCAGAGCATCGCGGCCGGCGCCCAGTCCAAAGCCCCGGTACCGGGGGTGTCCCGGGAGGGGTGCACGGCAAAGGGGCTGGTGCTGTCACG